AAAAAAAACAACGGGCAGGAGAACGAGAAGGCAGAGGTCGTTTCGTTTTAGATGAGTTCCCATGCATTCCTGCCACACTGCAAGTGGATGCGAACCCTTTTAGGAAGCACTGTAGAACAGTTTCAGAAGGTGCCAATAAAACAAGAACGTCCGCAAGAGCAACCTTCTCGTCTCCACATCTCTTACACCGAGGCACTCATCGCCTTGCTTGCTCCTGACTATTTTATCCATGAACAATGCAAGCAGAGGAGGGGAGATGACACAGCCTTGGCGGAGACCAATGCCAACGTTGGAAGGCTTCGATTTAGCGCCATTTATTCTGCCGCAGCACCAGCTATCAGTAATTGGATGGCGTGTAGCATTGGCCATCGATCCCGCATGTTCTCAGGCATGCCAATAGGCTGCTGCAGGAAATCCGGTCATAGGCTTTCTCTAGGCCAACAAACAAGAACATACCGCACGGACGAACTCCCACGATTTCAGCTTGGCGTAGGGCGAATACCTGGCCAGATGTGCTTCGGCCGAACCGGAAGCCACACTACTCACCTTGTATCTTGCAGTTAGGTATTCCGCGGCAACTACTTTCTAGCACCCTTGCCTAGACTTTTCGCTAACTCTCAATAAGGCAATGTTTTAATATTTGGAAAATATTATGCTCTCGTTTCTTGAACAGGGATATGACAACCCTCATTCTCCAGTGTATTGATGTGTTTCATGTAACCACTGCAACTTGACAAACACGAGTTATTTTATTCTTGTAAAAAAAAATCTTCTGATTCAATAGTTACTGATACGGTGAATATTAAAAGTGAAAAGACTATTTAGAATCCAACTTTTCAGAGAAGATCCAACTGTTAATCGTTAATTAATATACACAGTATTTTGCTTTTGCCAGATCATTTCATTTTTAATTTTGTTTTACGGTCATGGTAAAAATCAAAGCTGTTAAAAGAACTTCACTCGACATAAAAAAAGCAAATAAATCAGGCATGGACGAAGACCATTGGGAATATGAGAACCATCACAAAAGCTATTCGGTCAAACCAAAACGGAAACCCTTACACATCCGCTAACCACTTAGAATTGTGACGTTTAAATGACGTAATTCTTAGCCAAAAAAATTGTTTACTAACGACCTGAAATGGTTCTTAGCAGCTGCCAATCAAACGTAGGAAGGCATTTTACAAAAATACTTAAACACCAAGATTTTCTATGCTGCCTAACAGAGGTGCATAAATCAACGAAGCAAACGACTGTGCAGATTTCAGCATGTCCGATATAAATGCAATAGAAAATGGCAGTCCAGGATATAGCAAAAACTTAAAGCTACTAAAAGCCAGTTGCGGTTGACTGAATGCCGTGGCTAGTGACAACCACGTGATGCATTCGGTGACGCCTTAGTATTTAAATAAGCTCAATATGCAATAGCCGAATCAGCGTAAAAACCGCCTATTAGATCAGTCGCCTGCAAAACACGTAAAGGCTTCATTCTTGATGTCGACAGGGCGATTCATCAGACAAGACGACAGACTGAAACAACGGAAATAAGGTAAACAAATTGTTTAGTGCAGGTGACTTTATATATTTACTTATAATCGTCGGCATAAGTACATACTTGAAAAGAGCAATAGTGGCTCTCAGGCCATAGTGTATGTGGAGAAATTCGATTGGGCTAGCTTGTGTTGCAAGCGGGGTTAATTTCAATACAAAAAATCATAGAAAATAATCTTTCGGTTAATTTTGTGAGGGAGAACGTTAGTGTGCAATGCCATGTTTATGAAAGAGATAAAAATTATTACGCGAGAAAACGTTAAATATATACCTGCAGTTTCAGGTCATAAACAATATGACAAAATAATCGGATCAATTGATATTCTGATCAAACAACTAATCTTGATATCTCATTGCTTACAAATGGACAGATATAAACAGGTAAATCTTTGAAAGATTGCCAATGTTAATCGCAGCACAGCTTTCTTGTACGCGTTTTTAATATAAATGTGGGACGGAACTTGCCTTAAAGCACAAAATGATCCATAAAACGTGGTACCTAAATTTTACCAAAATTTCGCTTCTACATGCGGCTAAATTATGAATATTCTAAGCAGGTACAGCAGTGTTTACAATTCGATAAGGAAGGCAAATTCCCGAATTTGTGCAAAATCCTATGAAAACAAACGACACTCGGCGCAGCAAGGCCGTATTTATTTAAACACTCGCAGATTGCGAGCAGCTGTTAGTAACGCAGCATACTGGCAACGATAAGTCAGTGTCTCAACGAGAATCTCTCTACACAGATTTACAAAATCGTTGTTTTGCCTAAAAATGTGTTGGGGAGGGGGGACACTTAAAATATCAAAGTCTGAGTATCTTAGCATCTGCAGGCCAGGCGACCGCCATCCATACTTAGCATAATCTAAAGAAGTCATTGCACCCAATGCAGAATGGAACGTTTTCGTGCAACCGTTCTGATGCAGATCTCTGGTTGTTGTCAATGCTCCGTCCTACGGTCACAGTATCGAATCTGTATAACTGGACATTGGGCAATCGGTGCGTCAGCGCGGACTATGAGTTATGTCACTGGCATATAGACATCTGTATAAATTATTTATTTACTTATTTGACTTCACTCTTCATACTATCTATCAGTGGCAAGCTCTCCGCGAGTAAAATGCCACCTACTGTGAAAATCAATGATTTTCATTTTAGTATCCCGCTCCGTCTCGAGCTTCATTCCCTCCAGTGACTGCGCGAGGTCGCTAAGGCAGCGCGCAGTTATTTGATCAGGCATCAGAGTTTATATAACTGTGGTTTTATAAAATGGTGGTCATCTCTATCAATCCGGCCGACTGCAAGGGGATGGCAAGAATAACCTGCGGTCAGTTAAGGAAGGACTCTGCTCCAAACTCTGGTTATCTCCTGCCGAAGCTCAACTGCTTGCACATAATCAGGAATTTTGCAGACACTGTGATCCGAAAAGATCTGCGATCGGGTAATTGACTGACTGACTAAAGAAAGTTCCACGTTCCGCTCATAACGATGCATAACGTGAAGGATTAAATGAAATAATTGATACAGACAACCACCTGCAATTATATATACTCTGATTCCCGATCAAGTGATTGGGCACAGTCATCAAGATCGAATCATATAAAAAATAAAAGTCGTCAAAATTGAGTAGTTTAACAACGGTATCTTACTTCACTCACCGAAAGCAATCCATTGAAATAACATGACAGGCAAAATCAAAAAATCTAAATCCACTGACCACTGTCCAGCTTTACAGATGCAATTCGGCGACAGCAGGACGGTGCCTTGACGCCAACCAGCGGTCTGCACTAAAAAGTCATAGACTTTACCCAGTGTCGGTATAAACGTTGGTAAATTCTCTAATAAACTCTATATGCGGAGTAACAATAATGAATACAGTGAGTTTAACTGGTTAGTGTAATTCGTTTCTGGTATGCTTCACGGGCGATATCAAGATGTGGATTCGACAATAGATTAAATGGTGCATAATTTCACCAAATTTGGTTCCACAACGTTAACGTTACACTAAGGCATAACTGCTTCCGAATACCTATCAAACAATCCAAGTCTATAGGCCATAAAAACTTTCGTTTGTCGATTTTCGTGAATAAAATAAATTTTACAGGCCAAATCTAACATCAGCTATAAATTCACGTTTGTTCAGGGTGATTGCAAGCAACGCTTTTTGTTGCAGAACAGTTTTCGACAACGAAACGAAACGAAAATGCTACGCAACGGAGCTCGGCATGTGCAATTTACACTGAAGCGTCATGACGGCACGGGGTTGATGTGTATTAGGCATAAACTTAGTCGGATTCTGAGATCAACGGTGGCAAGACATGAGACTACGCAACAAGCATCGGTGAAATCAACCACTGAAAACGTGCCCATGGCGGAGGTACGCTTTGACGACCCAAAGGAAATCTACCGTAGCAAGACAACCGCGGAACTGATTCGATCTGCTCTCATTTTGAAGCTGTGCTCGATCGAGCTGTTGACCAGAAACAGTGAGAGACTGATGAACATCGGCCGCCTCCTGCTCGGCAAATCCTTATTCAAAATACTGATGAAAAATACGATTTACGGCCAATTCATAGCTGCAGAGAATTTCAAACAGCTGAAACCTGAAGTCGAAAAACTAGAAAGAAACGGCATCAGATCCATCTTGGACTACTGCATAGAAAAAGACATCAACCAACGACAAGCAAAAGGTAATAAAACCGTTTTGAAACGCTGTTCAGTTATTTCAGAACATTCGTGTAAAAAAACATGTGCAAACAACTAACTGCCTGCAAGTCCAATTACATTAACTGAAAATAAGTTTCTATTGAAGATAGAGCATTTAGTTCAATCAGTGGCAATCATACTGAAAAACAGCATAAAATATATATTTATTTTATGCCTAATGCAAAATATGGTTATTCATGGCATCGAGCAACACCGACATTTCAATTCGTGTCTAACGAGCATTCTTCAAGACTGAGATGCAAACTCCCAGCTACGAACTCACGATCAACTGCAACCGTAACGACCTCCGACCTCTAACCTTAAATAAAGTCCGTGAGACACCTTCCGAAATATCGATGTTGTTCAGTCGTCTGACTGACCAATTTCTACGTTGTTTATTAAATAAACCACTTCTATGCTATTTTTCAAAGTGAGCTTGCTCCACATTTTCGAATTTTCAAAACTGCAATTCTTCCTAAAACTTGCTGGACAACGAAACGTTATAAACTATGCAACTTACAAACACATCCCTAAAGCTATGTTTCAACCGAAAAAGAGATACAGTACAGTCTCGATAATTTGGACTAATTCTGGTTTGACCCCGATGGGATTATCGACTTATCCGGGTTAATCTCATAGCGAACCTGGTATTTCCAGTTCAGTACATTAAAATATCAATATAGCTTATAATATCTATTTTATTGAAAATCTAGAAAGAAACAAAAGAAAAAACTATACCAGCCAAAACCTACAAAACATGCGTACAGCACTGTATTTCAAATCACATAAAGTATTGTAATTATTCATGGAG